GTAGGTAGGTAGGTAGGTAGGTAGGTAGGTAGGTAGGTAGGTAGGTAGGTAGGTAGGTAGGTAGGTAGATCATACACTTACTGGACTAGCAGCCATATGGAACAGCTAATTAAAGATATCAACGCAATCGATCTGAATTGCCTAATTTTCTACCATATTTCGCGGGAAATACCTAACATTTTGTCCTTTAACTGTTTATTCTTGCCCTCTCTAATATTATCATTACAGGCACCCTACAAGGTCAAATAGTTCTATGGAACATTGCTAATGGAGAGCTGGTAAGTATCTACTCCGGACCCAATATAAAAACCATCAATCCCACTCTCAGCAGACCTCTAATCCCAGGATGCCGCCTACTCTCGGACAATTTCAGATCCTCTGAAGTTGCTTCTCCTGCCTCCACGATAACGGCCCTAGGGCTTAGCCTGCATAAATATGAGTCGAATCACAGCTCTAGTAGGTTTTTACGCGGATGGCTTGTTGCCGGAGACTCAGTAGGCGGGATCCAAGTCTGGAATCTGTCTGTTGAAAAAGAAGTCTGCGATGACCGGACTAAAATCGGTATTATCGCGAGTCTCAGATCAGATGCTGCTACATGTGCGCCTGCGCCACTTTTGCTCTTTTTGGGCGAGTTAAAATCCGGTCGTCAGCTGGATTCTAGCCTGAAGTGCGATGGGTACGCAATCACCTGTCTCAAGATAGCCCATCTGGGGGCTGATCGAGGCTTGGTTGTGGCCGGTGACTCTGCGGGTTGTCTACGTCTATGGATTTTGCCTAATCTACGTCAATTGGCTCAGTATTCGTGCTCCTGTGATTCTGCTGTGGCTCGTTTCTTGATCCTTGAACCAAAGGGGGCTGGCTCGAGTCTATGCGAAAGCTCTTACGGCCGAGAATCGGTATCTCATCCAATTTTCGGGCGCAGCCAGGGTCAACGATTGAAAGTGATTGTGCAAGTTCACGAAAGGGTAAGATGTGAATTAGAAGAAAAGGGAATGGACGATGCTCAAATAGAAGTTGAAGATGAGAAAGTCGGGGTAATTAAAGCAATAACTGAAGGCAGGT